CTCGCTAGGGCAGCTGGCCCCGGATGGGGACGATTGTGAACCACTGGGAATGTCGGGATTTGTTCTCCAGTTGTCTGTCTGTCATATCAGAAGAAATGATTACATCAGGATCCCCACTGTACAGCACACACACAAAGCCAATGTAGATGAAGAAATAAAGCAAGGGAAAACAGAGGAGCGTATCTTCCAACACTGGGAGAGGGAAGTAACCTAAGCAAGATGTACCAAGCTACTGGACCTTGAGCTAGCATTCCAATCCTTGTGTCATAAACACGAACACGGATATGTTATGGGGGGATATTTATAGCAAATACGAAATCGAAGGACAAGCATTCAGAATGCCAACAAATCCCAAAGTTAGACATTCAGTCTATGATACAATTTCTCTGGGAACACACCTAAAAGACAGGAAGCAGAAGCTTGGGTTGATTTTTTTTTTTTAAATGCCAGAGCTCACAGCAGTGTTATTCATGAGAACCAAACAGTGAAAACAACCCAGATGAACGAGCAGGCAGAACGGAGCATGGACACACAATGGTTCATGAGTCAGCCTTCTGGCACAGGGGCATTCTGCCCCATGCTCCAACACGAGTGAACCTTGAAGACACTGCTCCATGAGGACACGAAGTCACGAGAAGAAACGTCGCACGAGAATGTACTTCTGGTGCAGTTCATGGAGAGGAAAACCTGAAAGACCAGTCAAATGGGAGAACATGTTCACCCCAGGGAGACAGATACGCAGCCAAGCAACAATGAGATCCTATCTCACACCTATCAGATTGCAAAAACCCAGGTCTCCTAATGCCTGCAGATCGGAGTGAAGCAATAAGATCTGTCACATGTCACGGGTGATGTGTGAAGAAACAACTCCCTACAGAGTCTTTGGAGGACAATTTGGCAACATCTGGCATGTGGAGAGCGGCACACCTCTGTGTCAGTGCCCCCTTCCAGGGACATACCCTAGGGAATTTCTCACACCTGTGGGGAAATTATGGCCAGAATTGCTGCTGTACCTCTGTTCCTTTAGAGGAAAGTTTGAAGCCCCCCCTAAAAGTCCAGTGCTAGGTTGAGACATACATGAATTCTCATGCTGTTAAGTAGGTTACTATGCAGCAGTTAAAATGTCCTACATGTGGTCCGCGTTCATGTGGACAGATCTTTCCAACCCAGTGCCTGGTAAAGAAGGCTTGCTCCTTCACAGGCAGGGGCTAGGAGGAACGGGAAGTTAGTGCTTAGCTGGGTAAGTGTTTCATTTTGGGAAAGAGATGAAGGGTGACAATGAAGGGTGTCCACTCCAAAATGTGGACATGGCATGAACATGGGCAGCACTGGCCACAAGGCGGAAGACTGATTGAGGTTGGGAGGGAAACCTTGAAATGCTCAGTACACTCTGCGTGCAGGAATCCAAAGCTACTCCGCTGTCTAAAGCCTCTGTCCAGTAGTTCAGACTACAGTGTAAACCAACCTGCTCCAGGGTCACATTAGCAGGGTTACCTACTCACCAGGAAGGTGCTTCTTGACCCCATATGCACTGGCAACCTCTTTAGGGCAACTGTGGGATCTGAAGCCATACTCATATGAAAGACTATATGACCCCAATCAACCCCCCTCTCCTAGAAACCCTGCAACCCGGACTGAAGTGGACAAGAGTGGATTTCCTGCCAGGCTGAGCCGCATGACAGTCCTTAACTGCAAGTGCTAGAGAGAAAGAAAAATTCTGTTTTCCTCTTGCTGATGCAATACTTTTCTTGCAGGCAAGGGGTAGGCCATTGCTAATGGAAATGAGGGATGGGATCGATTTTTGGAGGACGTTCTATAAGTACACATACATGTGTAAGTATGTGTGTGTGGGTTGTAGTTTTGTTATACGTGTGCTGTAAGATGTAGTGGACCCACTAATGGCCTGGCATATCTGGTCTTGAGAGCCCAGGAGGCCCAGGCTGAAGCCTGCAGCCACCTTCAGCCCCATCGCTTGCTCCTAATTCCACTATGGAGGCAGGCAACGGTGAGTCTAGCTCAGCAGTTGAGGTGTGGACAGAAGATGGAGGGTGTCAGTTTAGCAGATGTGTGTCCTTGCTCCTCAAGTGACATCGGAGAACAGATACAATGCAGTGCAGAAGTGTGAAAATAGTGAGTTTAGCATGAAAGAGAAGAATAATGTGTTAACATGGATTTGTTGCATAAGCTTTCTTATCTGACTAACTATGGCTAGTGGAAGGCCATGTACATTTTATTGAGCACATATTATATGCAATATATATTACTTATAGAGTAATGAGAATGGGGGAGCGAATAATAAGATGGAATGTCAAGGATACATAAGCAACTTTTGCTTTTTTGTTCACTGAAAGTTGAGCCTCTTCTCCATAATGTCTATGATCCTGGCTAATCCCTAATGTTCACTCTGAATTTAAATGAGAATATATACTAACCATGTAGCATAGGTATCTAGAAAATTCCTCCTGAAGTAAAGACTGTTGGGAAAATAACAGTTGTAGAGTCTTTGAAAAACCATTGAGACTACAGAAGTCGTAGTCTGGAGTGTTAGGAATGGGGCCCTGAGCAGACTGCTCTTCAGTCTTCAAGTCTTGCTGGGCAAGCCTGAAAACCTGAGTTCTCTACAATTCTGACATTCATATAAAAAGCTGGGTATGGCCAACCATGTGCCTGTGACCCCAGTGCTGAGGAACTTCCGAGACTGGAGGATTGCTGGGGCTTGTTAGCTCCAGCACAGCTCAGGCGGGAGACAGACTCTGTCTCAAAGGAGAAAGGTGAGAGACACTGCAGGCGGAGGCTGCTTGTTTGTCTTTGGGCCGCCCGAACCTGAAATAATCACACAGAAACTATATTAATTGCAACACTGCTTGGCCAGTCACTAGCGTATTCCTATCTAGCTTTTATATCTTAAATTTATCTTAAATCAATCCATTTCTATTAATCTGTGTATCGCCACGTGGTTGTGGCCTACTGGTAAGGTTCTGTCCGGTGTCTGTGTCCTGAGGCAGCTACATGACTTCCCTGACTCTACCTACTCTCTTTCTCGTATATGTATATATATATATATATATATATATATATATATATATATATAT